TTTCGATCTATACCAAAGTAACAGGAAAAAAAAACAAAGTACTCCAAGAAATTATAGTGAGTGAAATTGAACGATAAAATATATTCAGTGTCTTACAAGCATTACATACAACGATAACAGATGCTGTAATTGTAAATTTCTCGTCGAATATTGACTCCTTCTTCTAAAAACAGTATATGTATACTTCTATGTGCAAAATATACGGGATGGACTATTTCGAAACACATTATAACAATGGTCTTCATTGAACCAATATAAAAATCACAACAACATGACCAACAATAACAGATAACATCTACAAATCATCAGAATGGAGTCCCCGAGATACATTGACACTCCATTCAGTACCAACTATAATTGAATAGCAGCACATTTGAGATTATTCACGAACGAGAAACCCTTTCAACGGAATAAACATCACTATCCGGAACGTCATTATCCTTACCAATAACCCTCAACAAGCGTCGTAGAAGTAAAATTATTCTTCGTCGAAGAAAATCACAACAGTTGCACAATTCAGCACGAGTTGATAATAAACTTTAAACCGTGCATGCCTAATCAGAATCGTACTGACTTAACTTACCAGTGTTCGAAACACGTTAAGCTACGTAATCAAACCAGCATCCACTGATACAAATTAGGATAGGTACTTAAAACAGGTAACTGTCGAGGTCTCGAACGATCGACACGCGGAAATTTTCGTCACGGTTGATTATTCGCAGAGTCCTGGCACAAGGGTGTGAATTAACAATCGCTTCGCGGTCCGACAGCGAACACCACTCGTGTTCTCGCGCCGTGGTCGTGTGAGGGACACCCTCGAATCGCCGTCGTCCATCTGACAACTGGCCAGCGGAGGAGTGTTTTGCTTTCTGGCCGAGAGATGCGCGCCGCGGCGGTTGTGCAACACGCAGCGAGTTGTGCCCTTTGCTCAACAGCTCGCACGCGTTTGTCTGACGCACACGGGTATTTAGGAAGAAACAAGATTCGCGAATTTCTTTTTGCATCAGATTAGAATACAGTGGAACTCGAATTCTCCGAACCCGTCGAAGAACAAAACAGTTCATACAACTAGATCGATCATATAATAGTAGGAGTTCGCTGATTTTCGTCATTACCTATCTATGATTTTTCGTTCAAATGACCGGAACTCACATTCGAATAAGCGGATCCAATCATACGTTTACTCGTTCTTCTGCTTATAGTAATATCTGACATCTTTATGATTTTAGAAATAGATTTGCGACGACGATACTATCGTAACGCTTACTGAATCACTTCTAATTGTGATTTAATAAAGCCTGATTGTGATTTCTTTTAATGCATTGATCTACTGCTTACATTTTAGCTGTCACGGACGTTCATATACAGTGACTGCCAAACTGTAATTCCACCATATCTTTGTCATAACTTTTGCCATGCCTGTATTTGTTAGAAAGAGGAGAACAAGTTATTTTTATGCAAGAAAGTTATTAATATCACCTGATCTGAAGAAGCAATGTATTCTCAATATGGGTACATCAAGAGTTTATGCGTATTATATATTTTTAAAAAGATATGTTGAAATTATAGTTTAGCCGGAAACTTTTGGCAACAGCTGGAGTGACGCTCAGCAGTAGTTCAGACAATAGGTATTCGGCAGAAGTTCAGTAAATCAAAGACCGACCAAAATTTCGTTCCAATAAATGGAGTTCAAATAAATAAAATAAATACAAATACTATTCTAGGAGGAAGTACGAAACAGCGAGGAGCTTTGTAAGTGCGAGAGACGACGCACTAGCTCTATTATTATCTACCAGTATACATATCTTGACGATGCACTTTACATGCGATTTTACGTGTGTTTTAACTGGGTTGCCTTAAGTTTACCCGACGCGTCAGAACCCTGTCAGCTAAGTCGGTGTTATGTTAGCCGTTGACGTTTCTTTAAACGACTGCTATTGGCACCGGCAACCGTTATGTTATTCTGATAAACGAATTTCTACTATACTAAATTTATACAAAATAAATAGTCATTTTAGTTCTATATTTTATGAATTTATTTTACGAATTAAATTAATATTAATCCCGTGCAGTTATTGATTTAATTTTACAGGATGTTAATAAAAATGTGGCACACTTTCACAGGGTGAATTCTACATGCGAAACTTACGACAAAAATCAAAAACCACGAAATTGCGTTTGAGGCTTCGTTTCTGAATCATTAATAATTGTTGAAAATACGAGCGAAATACGCATAAAATGAGTCTGACGCGACGGGTTGTTGTACTTAAGAGACGCGTTCTTCAACTGTTACATTCGTTTCATTTTATTTCATTCGTTAGTCTCACTATGTAGGTTATCGATCGAACCTGTGTATCAGCTGGAAATTGGTTGTCGAGTAGTATAATCAATCACGCCAGACATATTTCACGCGTATTTTGCCCGTATTTCCAATGATTAATAACTCGGAAACGAAGCCTCGAACGCAATTTCGTCAATCCCTCGATTTTGGTCTTCGTTTGACATGTAGAATCCAACCTGTGAAAATGTTCCACATTTTTATTAACACCCTGTAGAACACTTTCGGAAATTTCAATTCAATGAAAGTCTCAATTTATAATTAATGAAATTATGTACAGCTTGTTAGTGTTGTTCGATTGAATATGTTCCATACTGTACCAAATTGGATATGTTATATTTTGATACAGTTATATTAAAACCTGTAAACATAACTCCCCATCATTCGTGTTATAAATTATAATTATACAAGAAAAATGTGACAAATATAGCAGTAATGAACCATTTTAGTGAAGTTAAGTCAATATTTCGAAACGATTACTCTACAAAGTCGATTAATGAACGATTATTTTATAAATTTTGTTTACGATGCTGTTGCATTAACAGTTACGAGTTGTTAATGTTTCTCGGTTCAAAATAGCTTTTAAACAAATTTTTAGCATAGAAATTTTCTTACCGAGACATTTTCTTCTAGAATTATGAAACTTTTATGTTTCACACAATAAATTAATAATTCATCGTCGTCGCCATATGGCTGATCTTAACATTACTACAATCTCAAAGATGATGGAGATAACTCAAACATATTTAATGAGTCTCTTTGGTAAAAGATTTCCGTTGTTATTGTAGAATCTACTGAATGCATTTCTTGACTTCTGCTTTCAGTATCATTGATGATTTATATTGATCATTCTACTTATAAAAATCTCCTACAAATGACGTTATCTAAATGACAAATATTTAACTTCGTATACCTACTATAGAATTCACGATAAAATGATGTTTTTGAAAAATATAAAATGAATATTATATTTAAATCAGTCTTGTTTCGTGAATATTATATAGTTTCCCTCACGATGTGATCAAACTTGTTATCTCCAAGATAATTCTAGTCAACAGTGCGCTGATACGTAAACCCATTTATTTGTTTGTTAGAAACAAGATCCCTCCGTACTAGCAGTGTAAACAATTTGCAAGCGTCAGACTGTTTTGCGTTCAGTTCATTGTCAAATATGCATTTAACGAAATTTGTTTATCAGTAATTGAATCTATTATCCATTCCTGAATCGAATATTTTATCAGAAAAAAATATTCAGTATTAATAATAACAGTTTAATTCAATGTATGATTCATATAACTCAATAGATGAAAAGTATTTTTCCAATTTACTTACCGTAAATTTAACCCATCAATTGTGAACGCAATAGGGTTGTCAGAATGTTACTATTCTATAATAAATCTGTATCAAATAATGTTGTTGATAAAACCGAACAATAATCACAGTCAATAATACAGTTCCTTTCAAGCAACTGTATAAAAACCGTACACTTGTTTATAATGTTTACATAAATAACGCGTTGTATACCTACTTTTGGTTCGTGTATACTGTATAAAAAAAATTTTTTGAACGGCTACTACCCCTATTACGTGTAACGAAACTAATCGACGACTCAAGTCACATGCATAAGTTGAATAAATTTTAAGTTAAGTAGTTTTTCACAAAATGATGTACATTTTAGTAAATCTTCAAACTATAATACATACAAGCATATAGTTCTTAGGATTCAGTATACTTATAATGATATTTTAAATTTAAGAATACAACAAATTGTGCTAAAGTGTTGTAACTGTTGTATATTATCATATGAGTTCTCTGCTAAAAAGTACTGTTTGTTAAACAAAAAGTACTGTTTCTTAATTAGATAAATTAGGTTCCCTTTTGGATTCAAAATTTCCATGTTCAGATATGCACTTCTTATCTTGATCTAAATCCATTTTAACTTACCTATTTTAAGTAATACTTATTCATCTTATGTACAAAACACATATTGCCATGTAAACAAAACATAGGTACTTGAAATTAGTTTACGATCGTTAAGCTCTACTGATAATTGCAATTTATAAGGACATAATGACAAATAAAGATATGTAAAATTCGTTATTTCATTTGAAACAATTGGAAGCTTCTGAAGCATTGTATATAGAGTTAGTTAACATTTTCAAACGGTTGCATAGAAGCTTTCGTTACAGGTGCCACTAACGGAGTATCAGGTGCGAAACGTGGTCCAAGTATTAAAAAAAGCGACGTCACTGAATTTGATGATGTTAAGGATATCGATGATTTTGTAAAGGTGTGTAAGTTTCCTTATCCTCGTAGTGAATTATTTAAAAGTCACAAGGAAATTTAATAATCAATGTACGCAATGATTCTTTCTAGACACTCGATACAAAGCCAAAAGGAACGGAAAAACAAGTTTCAGGCGTAAGAAGCGATTCTAAATTAGTCAGTGACAAGAAGGTAACACAAGAACGATCTCTAAAACCTCTGTTTTCTTTATACAGGAGTTTAACAATGTTTCCTCGTTGGATAATTCTAATGACAGTAAATCGCCGATATCCTCTAACGCTGGAAAGACGCGCATTGACTACGTTCAGCACGCTACTTTTACAGATGACAGTGAAAACGTGACCACTTCTACGAATAAATCCAGTGAGTCTTCCGATGGAATAATTTCAGCAGAGGTACGGAAACACAACTCCTCTGGATCATTATTGAACAATTATCGATAAATGAGTATTGAAAAATTAATTAAATTATCAATGTGCTAGTCATTTATTTAAATATTAACATAAGTCATTACAGTTACTCCAAGTAACTTATTCGGTTTTACAAAACATATCGAACAGAATATATTACGTCGGAAGAATTACCTATATCGCTATGGTTTATTTCTTCTATAGGAAGTTCTCAAACGAAAATATCAATTCACTCAAACGAAAGATTCCCTTTTTTTAATTGTTAAGCTGACTAATTAAACTCTATGCTTGATGACTATTGGACCAGAACGTGAGCAAGGTACACTATAATAATACACTACATACCAGTACCTGTTTGTCTCGTAACCCCTGGTGAACGGACATTCAAATTGGAATACTTGGATGTAGATACCCGAAAACGGAACTTTATGTGAAAAAATTTATTTCTACACTTTTCACTTGTGAATAACCTAATATGTATTCTTTAATACGTTACTGCGCAACGAAGAAACGAAATGCGGTCAAAATTATACGTGTTGAAAATGACAAATATTACAGTAACAAATCTTTTATCGGTACAGGATTTGTTTATATGTATTACCTACTATATGTTGCATTATTTTCTCATTCTAAATAAGAAAATAATCATCCAGATCTCAATAATCTTCGCTGTAAGTGAACAAACAACTAATACTATGCATCCACTTGAAAGTAGAATTCACTAATGCAAACAAACCCTGGAGAAACTCTCAAACAGTTTTTACTTTACTCCCAAAAAAAATAGTGATGGCTTCGTTAATATTAATCGGAGATGTAAAACCGTTTGTTAATTCGTAAAATATGCACTTATCTAAAACCCAACCCATAATTAAATAAATATGTTAACTACTGCACCCTGAAGTATAGTATTCTCTTGATTTAGAGACAGCAAGAAATTCGTGCAAGGTCCTCGATTCCATTGACCGATGATTTCGATGCTGATATCCGAACACAAACGAACGATGCTAGCATGTCCATGAAAATGGTAGAAACTTTGGACAATCAAGAATTATCCAAGGAATTGATGAATTACGGCATTGAAAATACTATTGAAGAGAAGCAAATGCTCATAGATGTAAACAGAAATTCTAATTTGATTGCCGCACCGGGAAGTGTACACAGGGTAGTCTTTGATGTAATGAACAACTGCATTTTGCCTGTCAGATACGGATTCAGAGTCAAGAGTACGCCTTTCAGAGTATACAACCTACAGCCTACCTAGTAAGTTACTAGTATAAATCAAAACTACTAAATTTTATACTTACATTATACAATAAGAATTTATTTTATTTCTACTAAATTGAGTAGCTGCATTCATATTACTCTACTTTGTTATATTTTTTACTGTATATTTTAATCAATAAACGAAAACTGAGTAGGTTCGTACGCTGCATTTTATTTTCTTGAAAATACAATTTTATATGCAATGTTTCATTTCATATTTTCATTTTTGTAAAAGAGAATCGTTTTATTTTCAAATATACCAAGAATTTCCAATATTTCCAACAAAGGAGAATGATACTAGTTTTACATAAAATTGCAAAAATACTGTAAAGTCTTAATCATTAAACCCTGAATAAATAATGAATATCATTATTAATATCAGCTTAAACACTTATTAGATGTCTTAAGGCTTAAGGAATAATGAAAAATAAATGATAAGGTTGATGAAAATTTCAATTCATGCTTGAATAAATAAGTAACAATTTTATCATTCTCCCAGTAATTTGTTAAAATCATATCACTGATATTACCCATACTTTTTCCAGTGCATGGATATACCCTGGTCAGATGAGTAATGTAGCAGTGGACATAATTATACCTGATAATACTGCACCTGATACAGCTAATACAATTACATTATTCATTCAGGGGACTGAAATAAGAGAAAAATCAGCATACTTGTATGTACAAGGTTCGCTATCGAAGGTAATAATGAATATATATATATGTATATATAAAAAAAATACAATTTGAAAACGAAATATTATAATATATTTATTGAGGTAAATATTACCAATCAAATTGATATTCATTCTGAGTAACATACAGTTAACCGATGATGTGAAACCAAAAATCGAATATTCTTTCAATAACAACTGTGCTGGAAAATTAGACAAGAATCGATGCTATAAATCTCGCTGGAGCATGGATATTACAATTCAGGATTATGAGTCAGGTATTAAATACACCTTTTAATTAATCATATAGTTACCTTTTTCATTGTGATATAAATACTAAAATACTGAAAAAGATACTTAAGAACATTTTCTACATTCAAAATATAAATGAAATTAGAAGAAAATATTATTATAAGCTGGAATGGTTAGTTTATATACTTGCATTTTTAGATAAAAGAGCATATTTAATATATTGACTGAACTATGATTAGTATAGGGAACAATTATAAAACAAATATTATGAAGCGCTTCAATGTATATGTAATAATTGAATCTTTAAAACATTTCCTTACACCTTCACTTATCTTAAATTTATTGCATAGGTTTGAAACGTGTAATTTCATCACCGAATGAAATATATCCACACACAGAGTTTATTAGTGGTACAAGAAGCCCTATAATATTTTACTATTCAGCTACATGCTGTGATACGACAACTAAAATTACAGCCATAGACTTACTGAATAATTATAATACTATTACATTAGATGTTACAGGTAATATTTTCATTATATTCATGATATATATTAATAGAATTTTTTAATTAATTTATTAGTAAAAATATGAAATGTAACTTATCTAAAATTTGTGTCATACTAAAGTTCAACTTTTTATTCTTTTCTGATAATAAATTTTGTATATAATCATATTTTATCCTATCTTAAAAACAATGGATTATACGTGTTTATATATTTTTCAGCTTGGAACAATTTATCAGAAGCACAGATAGCAGCTATTACAGTGGGAGCACTGCTTCTTTTGCTATTAATAATATTAATTATTATTTTGATAATATATTGTGTTCGGAGAAGAAAAAGTCTTGATTTACCTTATACACAAAGGTATGGGTCTAGACCACCTGCACAATCTGAAAGGACTAGCTTCTAATTTAATATTTAAGCTATTAAATTTTTGTTATATGCATATTCATTACAATGGAATCTAACATGTATGTTATTTCTATTGCATATACCAATAATTGTAAACACAAATGTATTAATAAATTTTATATTATTATTATTGTTATTTAGTTTAATTTCAGATGCTCTATTTTCAAAACAAATATAAGTACCTATAACAAAGCCTAACACTGTATATTTCTAAGTAATAATAAGTCTGAAAGAAATGTACCATACAATATACATATGTAGAATATGAAATAGAAAAGGACAAATGAAACAAAATTGATAGTAGGTAGGCAGATGTTATTTTGTTACTGTAATATTCCACTCTACAACACAGTCAGATACATCCTAATTTCAAGTTCATAACAAACCTCTGAATATATAAGATAATTATATTAGTTCTTTTACAAATTTTAGAATGTGACAAATAAAATTATGATGTTGAAAACATGATTTACGTTAATAAGTAAAACACAAATTAATATTCTGAACATGTAGCACTGGATTATTTTGTAATCAGTAATCGACCACACAAACGGTGTTCATGCACAATGTGTAACTAAATATAAACATTGCTCATAGCTGTATGAAAATGAATTGAGGTTACGAATTAAGAAACAAACACAATCAAATTGTTTTGCATTTCGACTGAGTACATCAATTACGGGATGATTGTCTTTCACACAGTCCGTCACGTGCTGACAAGATACGAACATGAACCTGCGAAAGCCCCACCCAGGTGTTTCGTTCATTAACTCACCATCGCGGAGAACCGCAGGTGTAGCAGGCGTAACAGGCACCAATAATGTATTCTCGACATAATTTTCAAAAGGAAAACCCTCACCGGCTGCTGACAGTAACGGATTTTTTACTTTACGTGATGCACCACTCATGTTTGTAGTGACGTTGGCACTACACGACACACACGCATATAAACACTGCCATTAAAGATAACTAAACCCAGAATCTCAAAAAAATGTTTAATTCACCATAAAACATGTATGTTATATAGAGATGGCGTGCAAAATCACTAACGGTGATTTATCACAGTGATCGCCGAATCATGATCACGGTCGTGATTTAACTTCATTAACGACCGCGATTGCGATTTTTTTATCTTGACTGAATTTGTTTACTGCGATCGTAAGTCCTTGATCTTTAAACAAAAAAACGTATTCAACATGATTTTACGATGAATTACATTACTATTTGTGTTTTTAAAAATCAGTACAAAAAACACGAAATTCTAAAGCAATGATTTGGTAGGTAACATGTAGATTATAATTTTGAATCATTAATTTATTCATTATTCTTCATTGTTTCTAATTATTCCTTCACTTTATACGATAATCGAATTTTTGTTTTGATGTCGTTAATATAAAATATACAGATTATATGTCGCGTGTAAAGAACTGTTATGTTTCTCTATCAATCAGAAACGATCACGAAAAATCACGAATCACTATGAAAAATCACCATGATTGGGAACGAACGTGATCGAATTACTCGTGATTAGGGTTGAATCGATACCACCAAGGTATCGATACTTTTACTTATAACTACTTCTGTCACAGCCGACTCTAGTCACGGATGACTAGTAAGCCTCTAGTAATCCATGACTCTAGTACTAGCTATGCTGAAGGTAAAAATGGCAACAACGCGGGAGTCCGGCTTCAGTACCTTTTTTTTTTTTTTTACGTGAGGAAATGCATTTACGCACACCCCCTCCCGCCCCCCAATGTGGGAGGAGTGGGCGGGGGTAGTGTGGGACTCACCCCCAATAGGGCGAAGCCCAGGGGGAATACCCACTAAAACCTCACGGTGGCCGGGCTCGGCGCTCTGCGGGGAGGCACCGGGATCTCTTGCGAACACAACCGGTACCTCCCCAGCGCCGGCTCCGCCAGTTGACGGCGGAGCGCCCTCTCAACCGGCTTCAGTACCTAACCCAACCTCCCACTACCACCGGCCTCTCAGTTTCCCGCCAATCCTTCAAATGTTTAGATTATTATAATCCCCCAAATGTGAGAACTAGTGCAATAATCCAAGTAAGTTTTATTTATTTATATTTATATTAACTTTACATATTCTTCGTTTGTGTGTAGCACATTTATTTAATAGAATTATCACCTTTTTGGAAATTTTGTTTTACATATATTTTTGTTTATAAATTTCATATATTTATTAATAATGTCACGGCGTTGCTGTGTTCCCAATTGTAAGGGAAATTATGATAGTATTTTAAAAGGTAGTAATTATATATCTATATTTTTCTTCCTCAACGATGAGGAATTGCGGCACAAATAGATGGCTGCTATTCCTCGTAAAAATTGGACACCAACAAAATATTCCGCCGTTTGCAGTCTGCATTTTGCAGAAAGTGCTATTCAAAGGTACCAAGGTATTCTATCACCCAATGGTGTATTGGAGAATGTTTTGTTGAGATATCCAAGACTTATAGCGAATGTAGTACCGTCCATTTTCCCCAATTTCCCTTTTTACTTTGTAAAATATGTGCTACCACCAAGAAAAGATCCTGTAGAGCGAGATCAAGAAATCATTGAAAGGTATGAAAATTTAGTCCAAGAATTTACTAATTCAGATTTACTTAGTAATTTCTCGGATTTAATAAATAATTATGAAGAAAAGCTTGTACTTTCAAACTGTTAGACTACTAAAATACCAAATTCAAAAATTTATTTTTCTATGCTCGTATGTAATGATAATTCTGACTTTTTGATTCTAAATACACAGATTGTGATTAGTGACAACATGAAATTACAAGTTTTTCAAGAAACCAATTAAGTTTCATTCAATGATTTAAAGTGGGTACTGCCTATTGATAAGAAATTATCTAGGTGGTCTCAACTTGAAAATTTATTAAGTAGATATAAAGTATTACAGAGTCCACATTCTACCACTAATATATGTCTTATTGAAAAACATCTTGAGAAATCTCTAGAAGAACTTAATAAAGCATATATTATTGCAGAATCAATTGAATTCACTTATACCAAAAACCTGAAATAGTAATAGATCAAATAAGGCAAATAAAAAATAAAAAAAATAGATATAGCTCTTGCACCATTATTATGGCTTTTTCGTTATATAGAGAAGAACTTAATAAAGCATATATTATTGCAGAATCAATTGAATTCACTTATACCAAAAACCTGAAATAGTAATAGATCAAATAAGGCAAATAAAAAATAAAAAAAATAGATATAGCTCTTGCACCATTATTATGGCTTTTTCGTTATATAGCCAATCGTCAGCTGCATACAATTGCTTGTCCAATTGTGTTGTAGATGATTCCATTAAAAGTTACATATCTGGTTATGGGTCCCATTCTGTTGTTAAAAAATTAAATTGCAACATATGTCGATTATTAATTGTGGAGGATAAAGGTAAAACTGTAGGCAATGTATATTTTGATCACTTACAAACATGGGGCCTCCCTGTTCCCACTGAAGAAGTGATAACCTCATTTATTCATATGTATACAATAATGGAAGCCATAATAAATGATAGCAATTTGGAATCTGAATTTTTGCAATCTGAAAATCATAAACATATTTTATGTAAATTAACATATATTTGTATTCAATCAGATGTACATTATTTAGCATTTTCAGATACATGCATTTGTGGTCAAAGTTACTACAGTATTTTGTTAAATTTATTGTCAATTTTTTCGAATATTTTATTAAATGATTATGTGAAAACTGTAAATAATAAACTGTTCTCTAACACGAGTTTATAATTAACTGCATAATTGTTCCTTTCAATAGCGAATTATCCTAACCTTTTTTCCACATGACCCGTAACCTGTTTGGCATCGTCCAAATAATTTTGTCTATTTCAAGTTTCTATTAACTTATACATACCTCTATCTATTTTTAAATGCTTCAATTTGGTTCAAAGATAGTTCTATCATGCTTCACACTTATATTTTCTTGAAACCACTGTAAATATTTCAAATATAATGCATCACAACCCCAAACTATTCAGAGTGTCCACAAAATATATACCACATTTATAAATATTAGTATACATCTATATTACTTCTACTTACTATAGTTATGATATTTATGTATTCATTATGCATAATTAATCAAAAATACTGTGTATTAGTATGGTTTTATGTAAAAAATAACACTAATTATAACACTGAACACAAAACTCTATTCTTGAAAATAGGACTCCCGAATTTGCCATGAGCGCTGTTGCCACGTTGTTCAGCACGGCTAGTACTAGAGTCGGCTGTGGTACTACATAACTTGAGATTGGACCAGATTGGACTATGAATACCGCTGTTGCGTGGCCGTTTTATAAAGATTTGTAATTGAGAATTTAGGCAGGGTTCGGGTCCCCGT